CACACACACACACACACACACACACACACACACACACACACACACACACACACACACACACACACACACACACACACACACGCGCGCGCGCGCGCCCGCACGCACCCACGCACACACAGAGACACTTCCCGCGCGCCCGCACTCGGACTGCCGGCATTCGAATTCCTGACGAGTAGATGAAAGTCTGACGACAAAACAGTGTGGCACAGTCATGCATCTTTTGTGGAGCTGTGTGCGGCGAGCAAGACAACACATACGCACGCACCAATGCGCGCTGCACACAGACACATACACACACCCCACTGCGCAGTGTGCCCTACCCCCCCGCTCCCACCAATTGGCAATGCAATGCACACACACGTACACAGCCCAATGGGCAGTTAGTTGTATATATATTGTCACAAGAGTATCAGAGCGCAGATGCGAACAAAAAGAACAAAAAGGAAAAAAGAAAGAAAAACAAGAAAAAATGAATTCAGTTTTTTTTTTATCTTCTTCCTTATAACTCCCCCTGTTCAGAACCTCTTGTGTACAAGGCCGCCCACGTGGATGTAGGTTGAGCGGCGGCTGCCCCCACACCCGTGTGTCATATCGACCCACTTGCACACATCCAAAAGGCAAAGAGGCAAAGAAAAGAGGAAGGGAAAAGCCAAATAAAAGAGAACAGGGGGCAACAAAACAGATCCCAGATGACAAGTCCCACATGCAAGCACCGCCCCAACACACTACAGGCCAAACGACGGGACAAGACCAACCAGGATGTCAAAACATTCTTGTCTGCAAAGAAATAAAAAAAGTCCCAGATACATATCTATACACAGCAGATGGCCTTGTTCGACGTTGGAATTCCTATTCGGCGTCATCGTAAGCAATTCGTACCGGGACATCATAAAAAACAATCGTAGATGATGATTCCCACATAAAAGCACCGCCCCCATTGATAGGCCGAACAACGGGAAGCAAGCAACCAACTAGGATACCAAAAAGAACCCGGAGGACCGGTATAAAAGGCAATCCCGGATGACGATTCCCACATAAAAGCACCGCCCCCATGCAGGCCGAACAACGGGAAACAACCAACCAGGATGCCAAGACAATAAAAAAACCCCGGATGACTGGTCCCACATGAAGCACCGCTATGCTCGTGAAATAGACCGAACAACGGGACAAAACCAACCGGGATGCAGACAAGGTTATATAATATTTTATGACTTAATTTCAGTATGACTTTTTTTTTTTTTCAAAAAATCAAATGTTAAATACTGTTTTTTTTGTATTTTCTATTATTTTATATTTGTTATTGTATTTTTTATTATATTAATTTATAAATTTGTCAATAAACTTACATATATTTTCCATCTGGTGTGGGTGAGTGATAGTCTACTTTGATTTTGGTTAAGGTAGATTATCATTTACAGTGTAATCAGTGAGGGGATTCTGCAGACTGTTGAGGGTTCAGCCTCCTGATGAGTCGGTGAAACTCCGACGAAACATTTTGTCACAGCCCCTCGTTTGTTGTCCTCTTCTGTCTCTCTGCCTACGGTTTACTGGGCAGTTCTATTTGTGACGATATATATAGATGCATACATGAGAAGCCACTCATGCAGCTTCACTATGTTATATGCCCATGTAGGTAAATAAAGCCTGTAAAGGTGGATTGCTGATGAGATAGCTGGATCAGCCTATCAATTGATAAACGAGAAATTGATGCGAATGAATGAGGGAATGCTTGTATGTATGTGTGTCTATATGCATGATTGTATGTATGTATGCATGTATGTATGTATGTATGTATGTATGTATGTATGTATGTATGCATGTATGTATGTATGTATGTATGTATGTATGTACCCATGCAGCTCGGTAGGTGATTAAATATAAATATCGATCAATGCATACAACCTTTTCTCCCCTGAAGGGCTGAGCATTCCTGGCCCTCCAGATTTCCTGCATCACCCCTGCTCTGCATACCCATGCACATACCCCCAACCCCCAACCCTCGGAAAAGTTGAGATCTTTGGACGGGAGGATCCCATAAAACACCCAATCATCAATCCACACGAAAATGTTTTCTGTCATGTCTTCCCAATGCTTAGCCCACCACATCCAGATTTTGTCTGACAGTGTGTGGTCAATGAACCCAGAGGTGAGAGTTCGACTCCCGGCCGCACTCCCATCTTGCACAAGTAACACTGACAAGTTCACATCTGTGAGTCTCTGGCTGAGAACCATACTGCATTATGATACTGCTGTAGGAATCGCCGGCAGGGATTGCATCCATAGAAGACTGGCGGTCTTCTGACCGCAGCCTATTGAGGGCACGCGACTGAGAATGCCATTCTGGTTGACAGGCCTCCTCACAGTGTCCATTCTGTCTTGCGAGACGGGATGAGGCCAAGGCTGATGGAGTCCGAACGGCTTTCGTCCTCAGGCTCTTAAAGCACCGGTGTACCATACATCGGCCCACTGGTGTCGGCATGAAACCCGCACCACTTCGGAGGCCACCGATTTTTATTTCAATGGCACCCCATGCCTCGTGGCCCCTCCGTCTTGCGAGACAGGATGAGGTCAAGGCTGATGGAGTCAGAACGGCTTCCGTCCTCAGGCTCGGCGTACCATACATCGGCCCACTGGTGTCAGCATGAAACCCGCACCACTTCGGAGACCACCGATTTGTTTTTCAATGGCACCCCATGCTTCGTGGCCCCTCCATCTTGCGAGACAGGATGAGGCCAAGGCGGATGGAGTCCGAACCGCTTCCGTCCTCAGGCTCTTAAAGCACTGGTGTACCATACATAGGCCCACTGGTGTCAGCATGAAACCCGCACCACTTCGGAGGCCACCAATGTCTTTTTCAATGGCACCCCATGCCTCGTGGCCCCTCCATCTTGCAAGACAGGATGAGGCCAAGGCGGATGGAGTCCGAACTGCTTCTTCCATCCTCAGGCTCTTAAAGCACCGGTGCACCGTACGTTGGCCAACTGGTGTCAGCATGAAACCCGCACCACTTCGGAGGCCACCAATTTTTTTTTCAACAGCACCGGGCAACAAAAAACTTTCTGCAAGGCTGGGGCCGCGTACTGGCGGTCTAACAACCTTGGTTTTGTAGTAAAATGAATGAAGGCGTCTCCTTGGAGCGGGACTGTGCCTCTGTTTTCTCAGACCATCCAAGCAGAAGTGGCTCCACTCTAAACTGCTCCGCGTTACCCAGGAGGACCATGCTTCTCTAGAGAAGGAAAAAGGTGTTGGTGATCGTCTTCTTCTGAGAGAGATGTGTTTCCTTATTTTGGGATGGAAAAACATGTTGGTGATCGCCTTCTTCTGGGAATTGTTCTTTAACCTGCCACTCTGATATGTGCGTGGGTGTGTGCGACAAGACGCACGATGGTAAGAGGCATCATTACTATCGAATCTCTGAAACAATTTATCGGCGCACCTTAGGAACAAAAACTTGTACGCGTGGTACAGATGCATCCTGTATTGCAAGGCGGAAGACTCTGCCGGTCCGGGACTACACGAGCATCCACGCCCCCATTGCACTTTGCGGGCGGGTTTTCCCGCATATGAAGCTCTTTAAAAAAAAAAGAAAAAAAAGAAAAAAAAGAACAGGCGTAGTAACACATCAAACAAACACCACGAATGGGGAAAAGGCAAAAGGAGTGGGGAAAAGGCAAAAGGAGAATAAGGCGAAAGGCAGGGAAGCAATGACAACACGCTGCAGCAAGGCATGTGGACCGGGGGGCATGGGGGAGGTGGGTGGGAAGACAAATAACACGAGACAGCGTGGATAAAAAGCAGCATGCCCAACCAAGGCAGGGAGGGCAGACAACCCACAACCAGCAGAAAAGAAGCAAGGACCGGAAAACAAAAAAGCGAAAAAAATAAAGACTGATGATGTTTTCTTGCAGTTCCAAGGACTCATCAGGAGGCTGAACCTTCAACAATCTGTGGAATCCCCATATTGATGGTTTGGGTCATGACTGTCCAGAAGCGGAACACAGCAGCAAGCAACGACTCACCGAAGCACCAGGCAACGCTGCCAAAGCAACTCAACTGCTCAACGCCAAAAGCTAACTGCATGGATGACATGGCAAGCACAGCAACAGTGCAGTGAAGCACAAGGCAACACCAACACAGCAGCCACACTACACATCACAGTAGCGAAGAATGCAGAAGGCAAGGCATGCGGATTGGCAGCAAGGCAGCAGTGCAGCAAAGCACAAGGAAACACCAACAACGCAACCACACCACACACTGAGCACAGCAGCTGCAAAGAACAACAGGCGAAGCAAGTGCGGCGGGCACCAAGGCAACAGCGGAGCGCAGACGAGGCAGTCTACACATCCAGCACGGAGCAAAGCGGCACATCACCTACTCTCATCACGAGTGAACCCCACAAACTGTGGCTTCCCTCCATCTGCTGAGCCAGGAAGCCACGTCGACGGACATCCATCATCATCCACAAACCATATGCACCACAGACATCACAAGCAGAGCGGTTCCCCCGAGAGTCCTGTAGGCACTCCAGACACCCAACCACTGACTGTTTAGCACTTCTTAAAGCCTTTAAAGGTGCTTACACGGACACACAGAATGTGGCAAGCACATTTCCCACACGGGCCCCGCAGGGCCCGCTGGTAGGATTAGGGGTTCTAGGGGTTAGCAGGTTGGTTTAGAGGCCAGGGCCCAGTGTCGTTTCGGCCCGTATTTAGGGCCTGTAGGATTAGTAGGCCAAGTTACGCCTGTTACCGGCCAGTGTAGGACCAGCACTGTTCAGGTCTGTGACCAGGCAGGTCAGTAGGTCGGTACCAGCGGTTAGGCGCCATGTCGTTTGGGGGCCAGATTTCGGTTCTCAGAGACCAGGCCGTTTTGGCAGCTGTTTGGACGCCAGCCCCTCGGACTGCCGATCGACTCGTAGATGGGATGGCCCTGCTTCATGAGGCCCAGTAGCTGAGGCCGACCAAGTGCTATATTTAGCTGTGTCCAGCCTCGGCCATGGGGTAGTATGGAGGTAGTCATCAGTAGTCGATGTGCTGGACGCTGAAGGTACTCGAGTAGAGCGCTGGGTGCTGATAGAGGTTGACGACTCCAGTGCGAGTAGAGGTTGGCGGAGGCCAGGGGACTTACCTGTTGACCCACCTGCGACACCATAGCTCCAGCTTCGTCTTCAGCACGTCCGCACCTGCATCAAGGCGACACCTTTCTGCAGGTTAGTACCTGGCATACATGCACAGAGAGAGAGAGAGAAGACGTCTTCTTCTTCTTCTTCTTCTTCCTCTGACTGTTCTCCCTCGCTCCTCTTTCCCTCTGGAGCTTCTTCTTCTTCTTCTTCTTCTTCCTCTGTCTGTTCTCCATCACTCCTCTTTCCCTCTGGAGCCTTTTCTTCTTCTTCTTTTGCTGCTGCTGCTGCTGCTGAGGTGTGTGTGTGTGTGTGTGTGTGTGTGTGTGTGTGTGTGCTGCGCTGAAGAGACAACGGCGAGAGAGAGAGAGAGAGAGAGAGAGAGAGAGAGAGAGAGAGAGAGAGAGAGAGAGAGAGAGAGAGAGAGAGAGAGAGAGTTGACGTTGAGATTTGGTGACTTTTTGGGCTTCGCCCAGTTCAGTGGCATTGCGGCTCGACATTGTATGGGCAGCGACATTGAGGATACATTGGAGACTGGGTTCATCAGGCTATGGTGGCTGATCCTCCCTATCTCCCTCTTCCCTTCGTCTCTTCTCTCCCATTCGTCTGTGGATGTATCCGGACTCAGCTCACCTTCCATGCATGCCGCGCTGAGTCCACTCACACCAAGTGATGATGATTGCTGTCAGGTCCTGTCATTGTCCCTGCTGAGTTAGATTTTGGTATTCCAGTCTTCCACTGTGCTATTTTTGAATTGCCTCTCTGAGGTTGGTTCTTGGTCTGTTCGATACCGATTAGGCATGCGACACAGAAAGTACTCAGAAAAAAGCAGGAAAACGGAGACGAAAAACAAGGGGAAAAACCTACATAAAACTGATTGCGCATCTGTGTGTGTCAGGTCCTGTCATTGTTTGTGGCAGACTGCATAGCCACACGGGCCCTGTAGGACCCGTCCCGGACATTCATCCTAAAAGCTTAAAACTTAGGAGCTACAGGCCCCGGTCGTTTCAGCCTGAAAACTGAAAAACGAGGGCCTGCAGGCCCTACTCCGTTTCAGCCTAGACCCAGAGTTTTTCCAGCCTGAAACGGAGGGCTATTCTTAGGCCCTGGGCTATTTTTAGGCCCTCATTTGTTTCGACCTGCCCTAAGATTCAGGCACGAAAACTGGGTTTCGGAACAGGCTATTTCTGGCCTGTTCCCACGCCAGCTCGAGCAGGAGCTGCAGCTGCAGCCCCTGCCTCCCTGCGGCATTATTGGCAAGAGCACGAGCTGGAGCTGCAGCTGCAGCCCCTGCCTCCCTTCGGCATTATTGGCAAGAGCACGAG